GTTGTTCACGTTCTCAATTTTTTACGTTTAACGTTATATTCGTTCGGTACACTTCGGTACACACGTGTACCGAACCGAAGGGCCCGTACGGTACGGGTACGTGTACCGTTACACCCCTATTATATGGCCATTATTCTTTTTGCCCAAGAAGTTCAATATCAGTCTCTGGAGGGGTTTTCAAAGCACAAATTGAAATCAGGGATATTTAATAAGCACACCTGGTCCTTTGTTTAAAATCCTCTACCAATAGAGTTCATTCCTTTCTCCTCTCTCTCTGCACGTTTCTCATCTGATTCATTTTTATTAAAACTTAAATCTGTTCTGGATTCTCCACAGATATCCAGGATCTCTCCCATTCTGCTCCGGCGGCACTCACGGCTATGACAACGATGCCGAGAGCATGCACGTGAGAACTGAAACTATGTTCTATAAGCCCTCCATAAAGTCTGCCTAATATTACAATGTATAGAAAAGTATCTGCATCATTTCAATTGTTTTCTCTCTGGTATTCAATTCGTTTCTAATTTCAATTATTTTTTAAATGTTTTTTATTGTGTTCACCCTATAACCCAACATGGCAAATAAAGGTTTCAAATGTCTCCCTCCCTTTTTTCTTACAGGCCATGTTTGTCAGTTACGGACCCAAGTTCAAGAACGTAACAGAAATTGAACCTTTCTCCAACATTGAGCTATACAATCTCATGTGTGGTGAGTCTATGTGTCAGAGGTCGCGTTAACCGAATATTTTTTTTAACAATGATGGAAAAATCTGAAAGCATTTCATCATTTTGACAGATTAGAACAAACTCGGAACAGCGCCAAAGCTTCCCCGGAGCGAGGCTCCGTGTTATGCCGTGTTATGCATGCCCGCCAAAAAGGAAATGATACCGTTTCCAAACCTAACTTTGCCTTACAAATCATTGAAATGTCTGTGAGTTTTGGTTTTACGCTGTGCGTGCTCCCGCGAGGTGCAGTGGGCATGCATAACACGGCGCCGCCCCCTGTTGACAGTTCACTAGCGTGCTCTCTCTCTCCCCCCCCTCGTCAAAGTTGTGTAAAGGCCGACGGGTAATACTGGATTTTGATGAAAATGTTACGATCCTGTCCGTCAAAATGACGGGCAGCGAAAAAGTCTAGTGCAATCTCTGCTTTGGGTGTTTCTTATCTCACTGTAAGCATCCAAGTAAAATGCAGACTGTTATGTGTTTAGTTGGGGGTATAATCGATCATTTTACTTGTAAGAAACGACAGGACCTCAACATAGACCAAAGGCTACACTTATACAATGCTAGATTTCCGGCTCTGAAAACCTTGAATTTAAAATATGAACTGTTCACAGTGGTCTACAAAACTAAACAGTCACTGTTCCGTGCAGACCTTTTGCAGATCACTCCAATTGAGAACAACGGGACCCACGGCAGTATGAACCATGTCCTCAGGGAACCCTATTTTATACCAGCGCATCCTGAAGAGCGGAGTGGACCGACTAGCTTTCCTCTGATCAGCCTCACGCCTACAGACAGCCTGGGATGCACATGTGATGCCCTGGTAGGTATTATCACAATTAAATTAATTATTAGTAAATAGAATATGTGATTGAAAAGTTTCAGTTTTACTATTCAATGTTAACAAAAGTTACAGACCCTATGCCAAACCTATGGTGGACGACAGGTGCACACACGCTACAACAGCCCAAAACACTTTTCACCATTCGGAGAAACGCGCTTCAAAAAGGATGCAAATAAAAAAACAGTTATGTGAGAAAACACATGCAAATGAAGAAAAATCTTCATCAACTTGACGAAACTTGCGCAGCTTGTTTTTAAAAGCACATTATAAATGAAATGCTGCAAATACAAAACGATGCAAATGAATAAACGTTGCAAGACGCTCAAAAATCATCAAAATCAGGAACACTAAAAAGTGATGCAAGCAGTGTAATGGAAGCTTCTGGTGCAATGGAGTCCAAACACAACAAAACACGGGAGAGCTGGAACTTGATGCCAAACAGCTGAAGATTTATTTTATGTTACGGCCGGAGAATTGACAAAAACATTTGCTGCAGCCACGAGGCGACACAGCGATTGCCCAAAACAATTCTGAAGAATCTCTCCCCTAGTCAGATATTTGAACTAGTTCAGAAATAATAAATCAACATTCTTCATGTTAAGACTAAACAAGCAGGGCAACATAACTGTTTGTCCATAACTTAAGGTTGTCTGCCAGAGACTTGCACATCTGATATGCTGGACTCACGGGTGTCTTATATGCTAATAATAGAAAGAGACAGAGCTGCCTCTATGTGAGAGAGATAACAGAAACTCCCCCAGGTTACATGCCTGAGCCATGAGGACAGAGAAAAATAGTAAATAATGAGGACCTAGATCAAAGGCTAACACCTAAGCAAAAATATTCCTCAACACACAGGTGGGACCGGAGCGCTTGTTGATGTTCAGGGATTATAAAGTTGGCCAATTGAACTATTATTGGAGATGTACCTAAAATGTAACTGTTATTGGCTTATTCCAGTGGTTCTCAAAGGGGGGGGCGCGCCCCCCCAGGGGGGCGCAGAGGCATGACAGGGGGGGCGCGAGAGACCAGGAGGAAAAATGGTTATAAAAAAAAAAAAAAAATTAAAAAAAAAAAAAAAAATGTTTTAAAAATTATTGATTCGAAAATAATATTATACAGTACTATTACGTCTGGGTCTCTGTGTTTCATTAAAGTTTGGCTCTGTGTGTGTGTGTGGAACGAGCCATTT